GGAGTGAAGCACAGAGTTGCCCAGTTTTGAGCATAGGGTTCTTCTTTCTTCTTTCAGAGCAGAGCAATCAAAAATATAGTGAGTGATTTCATTTTTTAGTTTTGAATTACAGAAGGTACAAATTGGGTCCTCACCGCAGAGCATCTTGGTGTGGTTTTCTCTGAAAAAACTTGAAAGTATTCTAACTTGTGTGAGTAGCCTTACAACCGGGAAAGGAAAATCCCATAAAAGGTATCCCTCCGTCATGAAAGATATGTGAATGTCTTTGTAGTGAGAGTATAGCTTAGATTTATCCATTCTTGTAAGGTCAATTTGTATAGATTGGTCTGGCGCTGTTCTTAAGAGCCGATATCATCTGATATTAGATCTAGGAAATAATCTCCCCTTTTGATCATTCTATTTAACATTTATTTCAAATGTCTGTATGCATCTCTATTTAATTATTAAAATGAAAGCCGATTATATTCAGTTGCTCATGTAACCACATATAAAAGACGAATATTGTATTTATATGGTGTGAATATGATGCTGAAAGATATGTGTTCATGTAACCATAGAAATGGAAGATATTTCCATACTGTGCAAGAGGTTACTGAGAGATCCATGTTTTCATATCCCCAAACATCAGGGTATAAATTGGGTAGATTAAACCTTTGTGCAGTAATTTTTGTAAAGCTTATACCAAAGTTGTTTATACCTTTAAAGATAATCAAAGTGATGAAACTATGTAAATATTCTCATTAACTGCAAATTCTTTAGTGTCATCTTTTTCCAGACAAAGATGACAATCTTTCAAGTGTGAACCTTCCCACTGAGGTCAGATAGATTTATATTAAGGTTCCTGAGAGCTACTGTTGAGACATTCTGTACAGTGTTAACCTGCAGAGATTTGTCCCATTACTACCTGTGAGTCTACAGTGTCAGTGTCTAACAGATGAGGCCTAATTGCCTTCATAACTTAGTGTGGCAATGGTTCAATGTTGAAGAATGATAATCTCAATATATTCAGGTCTAGCCGTACATATCCCTAAAAAGGGAAGGAATTCATCTTTCTGTTCAACACATTATGTCAGTCTTTCCGGATGAAAAATATTTCCACATCTTCACTTAGTTCGGCAATGGTTGAATTTTGTTGAATGATAATCTCATGAAAATCCCCAATTTGAGAAAAGAGAAAATTCATCTTCGCGTTCAACACAAAATGTGGGAGTGTCTCAGGATGACTGACGAATATTTCCATCGATATATCTACAAATAAATCCTGTTTTTAGAGAGGGGAAACATCCCAGATTTGACAATGTAATTTAGCTGCTTGCACAACTTTCTACATGATAACATCATTACAATGTATCAGATCATCAATAGAAGTATTGAAACATCTAATAGGGTTTCAGTGTGCTAGGTACACACAATACTATATTATAATAGTAATATGGTACTAAGAGATTCATGTGTTCATGTCACCACCTATTAGAGTGCATTGTTATATTTTGATGGTATGTAAGATGGTACTGAGAGTTTAATATGTCCATAACCCCAAACATCAGGGTAAATTTCTAAATTATCACGGTGTGTAAAATCATAGTGAAAGATTCATGTTTTCATATTACCACATATAGGAGTGCATTATTATATTTTCATGGTGTGTATTATAGTACTGAGAGACACATGTTCATATCCCCAAACATCAGGGTGAATCGCTAAATTCTCATGGTTTGTACTATAGTACTGAAATATTCATGTGTTCATGACACATAATATAAAGGGTGATATTTATATTTTCATGATGGCTATGATACTGATATATATTACTGTGTTTTTGTCACCATATAAAAGGGTAAATATTATATTATCCTGCTGTGTAAGTTGTTATTAAAGATCAATGTGTTTATGTCACCCTATATAAAGGTGATTATTTTATATTTCATGGTAGGTATTAGGTACAGAGAGACTCAAGTGTTCATGTCACCGCATATAAAGGTAAATGTTATATTTTCATAGTCTGTAAGATCTTATAGTGAAAGATCCAAAGGTTCATATCCCCAAACATCAGGGTATAAAGTAGCTAGATTAAACCTTTGTTCAGTAATTTTTGTTAAGCTCATATTGAAGTTGTTTATATCTTAAAAGATATTCAGAGTGATGAAACTGCAAATATTCTCAAAAACTGCGAATTATTTATTGTCATCTTTTTCCACGTAAAGATGACAATCTTTTCAAATATGAACTCTCCCGCTGTAGGCATGGAGTGTATATTAATGTTCCTAAAAGCTACTGTTAAGACAATCTGTACAGTCTTTGACTGCAGAGAATTGTCCCATTCTTAAAATGTGGGTCAACAGTGTCAGTGTCTAGCAGATGAGGTCTAATTGACTTCATCATCACTTAGTGTGGCAATGGTTCAATGTTGAAGAATGATAATCTCAATATATTTCGGTCTAGCCGTACATATCCGCTAAAAAGTGAAAGAATTCATCTTTCTGTTCAACACATTAGGTCAGTCTTTCCGGATAAAAATATTTCCAACATCGTCACTTAGTTCGACAATGGTTGAATTTTGTTGAATGATAATCTCATGAGAAACTCCAATATGAGAAAAGAGAAAATTCATCTTCGCGTTCAACACAAATGTGGGAGTGTCTCAGGATGACTGACGAATATTTCCATCAATGTATCTACAGATAAATCCTGTTTTTAGAGAGGGAAACATCCCAGATTTGACAATGTTACAGAGCTGTTTTACAACTTACTACATAATAACATGTATCAGATCATCAATAGAAGTAATGAAACATCTAATAGGGTTTCAGTGTGCTAGGTACACATAATACTATATTATAATAGTAATATGGTACTAAGGAATTAATGTGTTCATGTCAACACATAATAGAGTGCATTGTTATATTTTGATGGCATGTAAGATGGTACTGAGAGTTCAATATGTCCATAACCCCAAACATCAGGGTAAATTTCTAATTTTCATGGTTTGTAATATCATAGTGAAAGATTCATGTTTTCATATTACCACATACAGGAGTGTATTATTATATATTCATGGTGTGTATTATTTTTCTGAAAGATTCATATGTTCATGTCCCCACATATAGATAGTCGCCGCGGACTTCGGCCGCGCGGTACCTCTTCTTGCTCTCTTGCCTCCGCCTCTTCGAGGGGTCTGCTGCCCTCCTGTCCACGTGCGTTCCACTGCTGAACCTCCACGTTCACCCTGTCCTGCCCCCCCTGGAATAATTGGCCAAATTCAGCTGCCGAATTTTTAATTCATTTTTATTTCCCCGGTCCTCCCGGGCGGCCGCCTGCCACCGTCCATCGCCCCGATTTATTTTCTGTGGGCGTCCAATCAAAGCGCTGGGCCTCTTGAATGGCCGCACGCCGCCACTCGACCTCCCTCCGCTGCCTGGTGAGCTTCCAACCTCCGCTGCGCTGGCTCCACCGCCCTCCCCTGCGAGCGGCGGTTGCACCACCCGCCGCCATGCATCCGGCGGCTCACCCGCCCGCTGCCGCGTGCCTGCCGGCGGGCCCATCCACCGTTGCTCTGCCAGCAGCGGGTTCGCCCCGGCCTGCGCCCTCTTCCCGGCGCCCCTCTCGGGGGCCACCCCCACCTCTGACGCCTCATCAACTCCAGAGGACTCTCCGCCCCCCTCCCAAGACTCCTCCACCTCCTCTCCCGGCACCGACTCCTCCTGCCAAGACGACCCCCCGAGCATGTTCAACTCCTGCTCGACCCTACCATCGGCGGGAATCTTGACCTCGGCAGTCGACCAGGGGTGAGCTCCTCCACCCCTCTTTACCCTACCCAATCCACATATGTACACACACCACTCCATCTCCGCCAACCACCACAACAACACTACACCCTTGACTCACCTCCACCCACATGTGACCTGTTCCCAACCAACAACCCCTCACACCTACATCTAAACTGGGCCTACCACATCCTTGCCCCTTATGCTGACTCAGTTGACCCCACCCTTGCCGATGGTTTCCGCTTTGCTCTAAAAAAAACTTTCGCACACATCTCTAAAACATACCAACAACGCCTCCTCGAGGCCAACAACTCCACAAACCTCCTTACTCATCTCCTTGAACAAAAATTGCAAACATCCTCTCCCTGCCCACCTATGCCTCCCCCTGCCTCCTCCACCCCCCCCTCCTCACCCCTCCCCAAATGTTCCTCCTCCCCCCCAGCTTTCACCCGCCTCCCCATCTTCCTCCTCCCCCACCCCTCCAACCTGCTCCTCACCCCATTCCACTCCACTCCTGCCCATTCCTAACTCGTTCGCTGGGGTCGCCTCCCGACCGCCTTCCGCTAACCCCCCACCCCACCAACCCCCTCCACGACACTGAACCCCCAACCCTCCCACCGCCCCCCTCCCCATTCCAACCGCAACAACCCCTTCCACATCCTTATCACCCAGGACCCCTCTGCTAGCACCCCTATAGACAACAACCTCAACTCCAAAATTTCCTTCTCCCTCATTACTCCCTCCACCCCAATCACTAACATCTTCTGAGCCAGAAACAAGATCATCATACACACAAACTCCAAAAACAGCATGGACTCCATCTACACTAAGCTCAAAAATGCCACCAATGGCACAGGCATCTGCGTCAACCTCCCCCCCACCTTTAAACCCCGGTTTACCCTCTTCAACCTCCCCAACACCATCCCACTCAGCGACCTACCCTCCCTCCTCACCCAATCAGTCGGCACAGACTGCAAACTCATTAGAACTTTTGCCGGTCGCAACAACTCCACATACGCGGTTATCGAAACCGACACCGCCACTGGCACCCAACTACAATCTCGCACCCGTCCTGGGCTATAACTCAATCAGGTTCGACAGAACCAGATCCACACATCCATGCCGTAATTGCGGTGACATCTGTCACCGCAATGATATTTGCAATAAACCCCCCAGATGCCTCCATTGCGGTGAAGGCCACATTACCAACAACTGCACCGCCACCACCCTCCCCCCCAAATGTTTCCGCTGCAACGCCAATGGCCAACACCGGGCAGACTCTCTCTCCTGCCCGGTCATCAAGGCCGCTGAAACCACATTCCTTAACACCCACAACCTGCTTTAAATGTTAAAATTTTTACAGCTTAACTGTAACCGATCCCTCTCTGGCTACCTTTCCTTATAACAATTGGCCCAATCCTCCCATATCGATATCCTTCTCCTTCAAGAACTTCCGGTCCACGATAATGCCCTTCCCTCCCCATTCCCCACCCCCTCCTCCTCCCTCCTCCATGCTCCTATCTCTAATAATCGCTGCAACACCTGTATTGTGGTTCTCAATTAAAGCCTTCCCGTCATCTTCCTCCCACGACTCTCCACCACCAACCGCACCCTTGCAATCCTTGACATCCCCGGCTTTCACCTTACTCTCTGCTCCGTTTACTTCCCCCATAAGACATCTTATTCCTCCATCATTGACTCCTTTATCTCCCTCTTTGGCTCCCCACCCCCCTCCCCGCCTTCTCTTCGCTGGAGATGTCAATGCTGTTTCCTCCCGTTGGAGCTCCCAAAAACAAAACTCTAAAGGCACTTTCATTAACACCCTTCTCGACGCTCTCGACCTCAAGGTCTGTAACACCCGGGGAGCTATCACCCGCTCCCAGGTCTCCAGCTCCTCCTCCATTGACATCTCCAGCGTCTCTTCCTCTATCCTCTCCTCCGTCTCCGAGTGGACCTCATACCCTACCGACCTCTCCGACCACTATGAGATCCGCTTCTCCCTTTCCCTTCCCCCCGACACCATCCCCTCCTCTCCTCCTCCTCCTCCTTCCCCCTTCCCTGATTTCTCTCCCCTTCGCTTTCCATCTCAGCCTCCCCTGTCCCTTTTCAACTCTCTTGCCAAGTCCCTCACCAACTCAGGTTCTCTTATCTTCGCTCTCGACCACTGCACTTCACCCGACTCTCTTGAAACTCTTCTCCAATCTTTCTACTCTATCCTCTTCCTTAACTGCTCCCATCACCTCCGTCCCCATCCTCCTTCCTCCAACTTCCCCCCCATTCCCTGGTGGTCTCCCCAACTTCATTCTCTTAAGTCTCTCTCTCGTAGGTTGCGCCGCTCCGCCCAAAACAGCTCTCCCCCAATCGCTCCTCCCTACAAAGCCAGGCTCTCCTGGCCAAAAAGACTTATGTCTGCGCCCTTTTCAAGGCCAAAAGGGACCCCTTCAGGAAACTTTGTTCCTCCTTCACCCACGACCCCTGGGGGTCCATACACAGATACATCACCCGTGGCTCCTCCCGCTCCCTCCCTCTTTCTTCAAACTCCTTTCAGAAATCCCTCCTCCACTGTTCCATCAACGACCGCCTCCGCTCTACCCTCGACTCCTTCTTTAACCCTCCCCCCCAGACTCCCACCCCTTTCACTTTCCCCCTTTCCTTTCCACCTCCCAAGCCCCCTCCCCCGACCCCCCCCTTCACGGTGGTCGAGCTCTCCATCGCCCTCCACAACCTCCGCCTCAAGAAGTCCTGCGGACTTGACTTCCTTCCCGGCCCTTTCTCCAAATGGCTCGTCCATTCCTTCCCCAACTTTTTCCTCGGCTTCTTTAACTCTTGCTTTTCCGCTGGACACTTCCCCTCCCTTTGGAAAGCAGGCTGCCTCATCCTCCTCCCCAAACGCTCCACCTCCACAGACTTTCATCAAAACTGCCGTCCCATTATCCTCCTCCCCATTCTCGGCAAGCTTCTCGAAAGCCTCATGGCTTTTCGGCTCACGCATCACTTCGAGAGCAACCATCTGCTACACCCACTTCAATTCGGCTTCCGCCGGAGGCGCTCTACCACTGACGCCCTCTCCCTTCTTCATAACAAAATTAAGCTGGCCGTCTACAAGCACCAGTGCTGTCTCCTCATTAGCCTCGACATTAAGTCGGCCTTCGACCATCTGTGGCATCCCGCCCTCTTCGGCCGGCTTGTTGCTGCCTCCTGCCCCCCCTCTCTCCTCCAACTTTACCGCTCTTTCCTCTCCAACCGCTCTATCCACCTCTCCTACAGAGGGTTTTCTCGCTCCACCTCCCCTTCGCGGGGTTGCGCCCAAGGTTCTATCAGCGGTCCCCTCCTCTGGAACATTTTCTTTAACCCCCTTCTTTCCCTTCCCTTCCCCCCTGGTGTCCACGTCCAGGCCTTCGCCGACGATCTGCAACTCCTCATTTCAGGTTCTCCCTCTAACCTCCCTTCCCTCGCCCAATCCTCACTTGACCTCATACACTCCTGGTGTCTTGATAACAAACTCTCCCTCTCCCCCCATAAATCCCTGGTCCTACCCATCTTTTGCAACCCTCCCCATCTCACTATCGATAACACCCCCCTCACCTGTCCCGAAACCCTGACCATCCTTGGCGTCACCTTTGACGAGCGTCTCTCCTTCACCCCTCACCTCTATCGAGTCTGCGAAAAGGCCTCCTCCCTCCTTGGTAGGGTCTCCCAATGCTCTAACGCCATCTCCGGGCTCAGCTACGTCGCCAGGAGACGTTTCTACTGCGGCGTCGTCGAACCGGCTATCACCTACGCCGCCCCCATCTGGTGTGAGGCTGCTAAAATCCACGTCGGTAAGGCTAGCCTTCGCTCTTTACAGCGCAAATTCTGCGTCCACGCCATTCAGGGGTTCCGCACGGTCCCTACTCTCACTGCCATAGCCCTCCTCCGCGTCCTTCCCCTTGACCTCAAGGTCCTTCTCCTCTCTTCCCTCCTTCGCCCCCCTGACCCTCTTCCCTTCACTCCCGAATCCCCCCTCCCCCTTTCCGCTTCCCCTCTCCCCCACTCCTCCCCGACCTCTCTTTCTTGCTTCTCCCACCCTCCGCTCCCGACTTCGATTACTACACTGATGGCTCCAAGTCGAGCAGCGGCATCGGGGCCGGCGTTGCCAGGTTCTCTTCTTCTCCCCTCTCCTCTAGCTTTCCTCCCCTCAGCCTCTCCATTCCCTTGGCCCCCCACTGTTCCGTTTTTCAGGCTGAATGTTTCGCCTTTCGGTCCGCTCTCTCCGATCTCTGCAACCTCCCCCCTCACCTCTCCGCAGCCATCTCCTCTGACTGTCTCTCTCTCCTTTCTGCCCTCTCTTCCCCCCACTCCCCTCACCCTCTCATCGCCCAATGCCAAACCCTCCTCTACTCCCTCCTCCCCTCCCGCAACCTCACCCTCCACTGGGTCAAAGGTCACTCCGGTAATCTCGGTAATTGCCAAGCCGACACTCTTGCCAAAGGCGCCACCGTTGCTCCTTCTCTCCCACCACAATATACCCCGCCCCTAAAACTTCCCACCACAAATTCCTCTCCCACCATTTTTGGTCCCTTTGGGATGAGGAATTCATCTCTGCCAAGCCCAGCTTCTTTCTTAAACTAGGCCTTTCCCCAAGCTCACTCTCCTCCTCCCAAGTACCGCCATCGCCACCGGTCTTCTCACCGGCCATACTTTCATTGCTGCTTTCCCTCACAAGAAAACCCCTCCCCCTTTCGATCCCACCTGCCCTCACTGTAACCAAGCCCCCGAAACCATTGAACATATATTTTTCGACTGCCCAAACCTCGACTCCCTCCGCGCTACCTTTTTTAACAAATGCCTGTCTGACCTCGGTCACATCCCTACTTCTCTCCCTCAGCTCTTCTCCTCTAGCAAAGCTTGGGCCCTCACTCTTGATTTTGCCACCCACTCAAATAGGTTTATCCCATCCAACATCCCACAATCCAGTTCCGACTCTGACACCTCCACTTAACACAACCTCTCCCTCACACCCCTCACTCACCCTCACCTCCTCCTTACCACTCACCCCTCAACCTTTGGACTGCTGCCAACACACTCAACACAACTCTTTGAACTGTGGACTTTTGCCACTTTTTTTATTATTATTATTTTTTTATTTATTTTTTTTTTTCTCCTTGTACATAGCCTTCTCCTTTTACACACACTCCCTTCCCCCCTCCTTTTTTTATATAATCTTTTTTTTTTCTTTTACCTTACATTCTACTCTTTGTCCCACATTCTTTTTTTCCCCTCGTACATACCCTTTCTCCCCAATTTCTTTTGCTCATCCTCACCCCTTGCCTTTTCTTTGCCCTCTTTTTTACCCCTTCCTTTGACCTATCTCTTGTTTGCTCTGCTGTTCCTTCTGTACATACCCCTTTCCCTTGCTGTTTTCGCCCTTGTTGCTGTTTGCCCGTGCTCCCTGCTCCCTTTGTTTATAATTCCACCCCCTCTGCTACCTACCTAATCTTTGTACCTTTGTTTATTTTAAAATAAATTGGAAAAAAAAAGGGTAAATTTGCAATCTGCCAGACTTGCTTGGAGCCTGGCGCTGTACTTGGTGCTTCCTTGGTTCCCTCTCTAACCGCGCTCTCGCCCTCTTCTTCCCCGGGGTGCTCACTTGCCCTGTCTGCGCCTCTCCACCCCTCTCCTTGGCCCTCCACCGCCGCGGGCGCTTGGTGACTCCCAACCATGAGTCACGCCTTAAAATGCTTGACCGAAAGCATGCAAAAGGCATAATAATAGTATATTGTACCCAGAATATGGGCAGTTATGATGACATGAACCATTGTACCCAGAATATGGACAGTTATGATGACATGAACCACTGTACCCAGAATATGGGCAGTTATGATGACATGAACCATTGTACCCAGAATATGGGCAGTTATGATGACATGAACCACTGTACCCAGAATATGGGTAGTTATGATTACATGAACCATTGTACCCAGAATATGGGCAGTTATGATGACATGAACCATTGTACCCAGAATATGGGCTGTTATGATGACATGAACCAATGTACCCAGAATATGGGTAGTTATGATGACATGAACCACTGTACCCAGAATATGGGCAGTTATGATGACATGAACCACTGTACCCAGAATATGGGCAGTTATGATGACATGAACCATTGTACCCAGAATATGGGCAGTTATGATGACATGAACCAATGTACCTAGAATATGGGTAGTTATGATGACATGAACCACTGTACCCAGAATATGGGCAGTTATGATGACATGAACCATTGTACCCAGAATATGGGGAGTTATGATGACATGAACCAATGTACCTAGAATATGGGCAGTTATG